AGGCCACTGGGTGTGGGTAAGGCAGGCCACACGAAGCAGGGTCTGCCCTCAGCCCCCTCCCCTCCCAGCCTGGACCCTGCCCGAGTGCACTCTGTGTGGGAATGAGTGAGACAGACGGGGGCCCCCGCTGCCCCACGTCTGCCCCAGCTGAAGGGAGAAGGGGGTGGTCAGGACACCCAGGGAAGGAAGGCTTCTTGGCCACAACCCGACTGTCTGTCTCCTCCCAGTACGAGAGCAAGTTGAGCAGCTTGAAGAAACCACTGTCGCTGCAGCCCAGCAAAGAAGCCTGGTGAGTGGGTCCCCACCGCAGGCCCCACCCCGGGCTCCCTCGCGCCAGGCCAGCACCTTCTCAGAGACCAGGAAGGCAGGCCCCTCTCAGAAATGGGCTGGTAATGCTGAACGTTCTGATCCAAGGTGCCTGATCAAAAGGGCAGGGGTGATGAGGAACAGAACCAATTTTTTTCACAGAATCCAGCATTTCTGGAGCCCTGGTGGCTAGATGAACCCCCAGGATTATCACCGTGGGTTTGTCTTTAAACTTTAACCCCTGAAGTCTATAAAGCAGTTACCTTGACTAGTAGGGAGTGGGTGCCCTAAGCCTTGGGCCGCGGGGTCACGATTGCGGGGACAGGAAGGGAAAGGCCAGGAAGAGGACGGGAGCACTGGTGGTGTCACTGCATCGCGCTCACCGGCGGCGTCGGTTTTGCCGGGTGTGTTTTCTGCAACGCATGTCGCAACGGTCCAGTGGTGGCGACATGGGCCTGTGGGGTATCCGCCCCTCTTGCTGAGAGAGGGCCTTTGGTCCCTGTCCTCCTCCCCCTTAGCATGTCAACCAGGCCAGCACACGGGGCCGCGTGTCACTGGACGGACAGGGGCAGGGAGGGACAGGTGAAATAGTAATTAAGCACAGACAGGCATCTGGAGTAGCAGGTACGGGTTTGGGGGACGGGATGGATGGAAAGGGGCATGTTTTTTGGTGTACAAGTGAGTAGGGTGGGGTGTGGGTGCCCTGTCAGGTCACTGGGTGGGTGGGTGAGTGGTTGGACAGATGGGTGTGGGGAGGATGATGGAATGGGTGTGTGGGTGAATGGGTAGGTGGAAGTTGGGGCAGGTAGAGGTCTGGGTGGGTGGAGGTTTGGCTTGATTGGATACATGGAGGGAGGGAGGGAGGGAGGGAGGAATGGCAGGCATCTGGGTGGGTGTGAGTTGGATGTATGTCTGGGTGGGCAGCGGGATGGACACTGCTTGGGTAGATGAATGGATGAGTGTTGGTAAGTGAATGGATAGATGGGGGCTGTTTGGTTATGGACGGAAGGGGTTTGGATGAATGG